CGTAGTAGCATCAGTGGAGGCCCCTTCGGTGGGAGAGGAGTCTTCCGAGTCTGGCACCCAGAAGACAAGTTTGTTTGCTATAGAAGCCGAGGGTGAACCCAAAACCATATTCGGGGGATCTTCAACGTTTCCGTACAGCCAGGTCCGTCCGTAGGCGGTGCAAAAGTAGTTCAGGAGTAGAGTTCAAGGTGCAAATGTCGAGGCGTGCCCTGTGCGCCCAGCCGCGAGTAGCTGCAGTCTTGGAACACCTCGAGAGTCCGTCTGGACACCGGTGAGTCTGAGTCTGGGGACGGCAAGGCACAAGACGCGGGAACACCAAGCGCCCATATTCAGCGCGCGATGTGACCGACGCGACGTGACTCCCAACGCGTCACAGGTCCCGTGGTGGCAGTACGCGACGCGGCCATAGACGCCGATAAGCTTTCGGAGTGACGACGATGCAAGCGCTGCACCACCAGTGCAGTGTGCCGTGGCCATGCTCCGACTAGACCGCAGACAAGGGACTCCTGTCTGAAACTGAACCGTAGCTCCTATGTCGTACAGGCCTAGCGTCGCTGTGTCTCAAATGTTCGAGCGGCGACGGGAGAGCGAGAGAGCGAGGATGAGAATGACATCGCCGGCGGGCTCTCCAACCCGCAGCCGCATGCATTGCTTTCCGATCCACGAGCCCGCGTCCTGGCGAATCGTGTACGGTGCCACCCTTGGCAAACCAATGGGCCACTGCGCCGCGTCCGGCCCTTGAAGGCGAAGGTCATATATACCCGCTCTTTGTCCTCTCCACCCACCTTCCGGTCACCACTGCTCCCACAGCTACAGCTTGGAGACTGTCAGTTCCGACGTCGTTGGACGGTGCAGCCATGATATCCCTATCGGTCAGACGGTCGCCCGCTCACCCAGGATGCAAGCTCGAATGGAGCGCGGTCGAAGCTAACGAGCTCGCCCTCGCAGCCCAGCAGCTCTCCTCTGCTGACTTTGTCGTAAGTGTCTCTTTGTTCTCCGCTGCAGAGTCCCAGTCCGAATTACTGCATACTTGGAGCCTTCGGAGCAGTGAATGGATAAGCTCACATCCTTTCCTTTACAGGTCAAGCCGAACGAACTTCACCTCGCCTTCAACATCGGGCCCTTGCGCTCCCGCAACTACAGCCGCTTCAAGCGCATAAACCCGCGCCACCCCACCCACAGCAGCCGCTCCAACCACACTTCGAAATCATTCAAAGACACGAGCCTCCGCGGCCCCGCACCACCGCCACCCCCGCCGCCGCTCTCCCGCTCGAGCAGCACGAGCTCGATCGCGACGCTCACCATGGCGCTCACCGCCGACGTCGGCGTCCTCCTCACGCGCCACGTCCGGCGCGAGTCCACGTACATCGTCTGGGGCGGCGTCCTCGCGTTCGAGCCGCCAGACGGGGAGCAGTTCGACCTCCCCCTCCGCGCGGTCCTCGTGAAGATCGCGGTGGACGACGAGGGCGGCGAGGACCTCCGCGAGCACGCGCGGCACTACGAGGGGCTCGCCGAGCGCGGGCTCGACGTCGGGTACTATGGCGTGTTCGTGGACAGCATCGGGAGCACGGCGCTCGTCGTCGAGGATCTGGGGGAGGACTCACCGCGCCCGGAGAGCCCATGACAAGTGGCCGTTTGGGCGGGCTTATCCGCAAGTGTTGGGTTTGGGGAACGTTGAGGAACGTTCGCTCATGACGGCAGCTCATCAAACTGGACGTCTTGTCCGTGATTGGGTTCCACCGAGAGATATGAGCATCTGTATCATTGGACTACGGCACATTCACCACCTGATTCTGTTCTTTCTCTGTCTCCCCTATTGCGCGCACGATTAGTTGTATCATGGACTTTGGATTCCTTAACGCAATACTCACCTTGTATACCTACCTACCCCCTTCTCTCCGTCATCTCTCGTTGTCGGACCGTATACCATACCAAATGTTTTCTCTTGCTTACTATGAAGCTGTACTGTTGTGTCACTGCGATCTGGAAGAAGCCGTTAGAGCATGATCATAATACGGACATATACAGAACACGCATGGGGGTATCTCGTATCATACTACACCAGTCCGAGTCCATCGACTGCCATTTAATCAGGCCTGCGCCCTAGCCTCGACACCCTCTCTCAACCTCACCCTCGGGTCGCGTCCATCCCAACCATGCATCCGCTCAATACCCCCTCCGCAACCGCTCATTCTCCTCCCTCAGCCGCGCATTCTCCTCCCTAAGCGCCCGTAGCTCCTCCCCGATCCCGCCCAGCGCGTCCTGCATCTCCCGCCGCCAGCTCGTGCCCATCCTGATCAAATCCAGATGGAGGCCGACGATCTCCTGCTTCGTCTCCGCACGGAAGTCGTGCAGCGCGTCCCGCAGGAGCGCCTGCAGCATGTCCTGCGCCGCACGCGCCTGCGGGCTTGGTGGTACCGGCCCGTGTCCGTGCCCGTTGGCGGACGTCGAGGCGGGGTTGCGCAGGGGCGATGGGACGGGCGCCCATCGCGTGGAGGGGTTTGTTGAGGGACCCCCTGGAAAAGAGCGTCGTGGTGAGATTTGCATGGCGAGCTCGGGCTGGGCACGCGGTGGCCTGCGGTCGTACCCGCCTTGTCGGCCAGCGTCCCTGTCTTCGTCCTCTTCGCTGTCGCTCGCTGGTGACCGAGATCGACGCGCCTCTCCTGCCATCGGGTTCTCTTCGTCATCATCGTAGTCGCTATCCGCCGCGAACCCGACATGCCGCCCTTCCCTCGGTCCGTCTTTCGCCTCCCCCGCCTCGACCCATTTGTCGATCTCTGGCGTACCGAGTACGCGCCCGCGTTCCTTGCCTTTCATCTTGTATGCGGGGATGGGCGTGACGGGTCCGACGTCGTTGACATCTGGCAGCTCCGGACTAGGTGTCTGCGAGCGGGAAATGGTCGAGCCTGACGTTCGGCGGGACTGCACGCGCACGGGCGAGATGGACGACTTCCCTAGGGCAGACCGAACAGAAGCCTTGCTCGTCCGTCCAGCGGCACTTGCGGACGAGCCAGAGCGTGCCCGCGGAGCTGCTGTTGAGATGGATTCTGCGGCTGGTCCATGAGAAGCAGACTCTGTGCGGGCGTGCGTGCGAGCCCTTCCGCCTTCACTTAGTTGAGAACGAGAAGACGCGCGCGAGAGAACAGAGGGCGCTCGGGACGACACAGGAGGTTGCGCGGCTTCCTCAGGTGCCGTCGACAACGCAGGCCCTTTCCCCTTCGGCAGAGCAAGGAGGTTCTCAATGCGAACTACACATAGGGCGTCCGTTCAGTAGCCTGTTGGTTAACAGTTTGTCTTATGAGCATACCTGACAAATCACCATCATCTGCCCCCTCGTTATTCTTGTCCACAAGGGCGATGGGGGACTTCGGAGGGGAGAAGGCTCTCTGCGGGACTTCAGAGGTAGAGGGACGAGACACCGGAGACTTCTGCGCAGCACCACAGAGCGAAGGTCGGCTACCGGATGCAACTCGTCCCGCGGGCGCATTCGCCTGGTTCGAAGCCGATGCTGTTCTGGCAATAGGCCGCCGAGGCGTCGTTGTAGTCCCTGTTGTTGCCGTGGTTCCAGAAGCTGCTCTCGGTCTTGCGGGTTTCAAGGGCGCCTTACCAGTTTCCTTCTCTAGCGGCTTCTTCGTAGGTTCGTTCGATGCAGAGGGGCGAATAGTCGTGGTTGCTTTGTTGACATCACGTTGGACGAGCGGTTTGGAGGCTGCCGCTGCAGGCTTCGTTTGTGCTTCACCCGGCTTGAGTTTTCTCTGTACGATGCATGTGTGAGCAACAACGGGAGCGTGTCGCAGTATAGGACTTCGTACCTGGACACACAGGGCGACAATTCGGTCACCACTCTCGCTGATGGTGATCGACTTGGGCGGCTTGTCCAGAGCACGGAGGTCCAGCACCAAGAACTTGCCGTTCTCTGTTCCAGCAAAGACGGCGGCACCCTCTGCGGAGAACGAGAGGCAGGTAATAGGGGCGGGCATAGTGACCATTCGGAACAGCCTATGTTACAATTTGGTATGTGAGCCACGTTCGGCGCATGCAGTCTCGATATGGTCGACGTACCCCTTCTCTTTCTCGAGATCTATGAGCGCCACCGTTCCACCGCTACATGCAACGGCCACCAGCGTCTTGCTGAATGGGCTACATGAGATAGCTGTGATCTGACCCAAGCCCTTCTTCTCCTTGTCGACTTCAATGGCTTTGGCTGGACCCGACGGGCGTGTCGTGTCGTACACAAGTAGTTGCGACCCAATCCCCACGAGAAGCCTAGTTCTCGAGTGAGGGTGGAATGCACAGGTCGTGATTTTACTGCCGGAAGACGGGATACCACGGAGGACAGTATGGGAGGCTAGCGTGAGGTTATGGACATGAATAGCATGCGCAGATGTAGAGGCCAGTAATGAGCAGTCGTTTGACAGAGACAGAGACGTGATCGTGGATTTGTGAGTATCAAAGGTATTCGCCGGTTTGCCTGTTGATGTGGAGAGTACGACTACTTGTTGTCCCTGGCCATAGATGATTGTGCTGCCACGATCCTTGTAAAGCAGAGATACAACAGGTTCGGTGGATGTCCGCGCCGCAATAGAGAAATCCTGCAAGGTCCCAGTGACAACTTCGTATTGAGAAAGAGCACCGTTCTCCGAGGCTAGAAAGACGGTGCCTGTCTCTGCGCTCCAAGACAAGCTGCTGGGAGGGGAGGCTAGAGGAGACGTCGAGTTGACAACGGATGGAGGGTGCTTGAGGGTCGAGTGGTTAAGGATGGTAAGGCTTGTTGTTGTAAGGACTGCGGCCATCGTTCACATGTACAGAGCGCGAGCGGTCGACCAGCTGGATTTGGTGTGATATGAGATGACCGAGTGGGAGTGGGCGGAAGAGGTTGATCTTACACCTTGGCGCCAATGCGACGCGTCTCCCTGTTTGCGCTCGCGAGGCAACGCGTGACCGTGTCGCATACTGCCCGGTGCGCACGCTAAGTATATCTTGGCATTACCGTTTATCAAGCCATCGTGGCGCAATGGTAGCGCATCACCTTCCTACCAAGCCAACTTGGCCTGGAACGAGGTGGGGGTTGCGGGTTCGATCCCCGTCGGTGGTAGTCGGTTAAGTACTACGCATGGCTTCTTTTTGCTCCAGGACCCCCAGTAGCTTACATCAATGTCAACACAATTCAGCCCGACTACCATCCAGCTTATACAGCGTATACAAGTACGCGATTCCGCTTGAGAGACTAAAGAATGCATAAGTTGTGACACCGACTGAACTACATAGTACTGGACGAGGATAGACATGTGCATCATACATGAGCGCGAGAGCGGACGACAAAACTAGATGTGCGAGGTAGAGACTGAGGTTGTGGTGCGTCCATATTCACGGCGACCGAGAGTGCGAGAAGCCTACTCGGACGAGTCCTCCTTTGTGTGACCTTTCGACTTCTCGTACTGGTCCGCGCTTGTCTGTTTTAGCACGCTACGGTGACGTTCAGGTGAAGAGGATCGAGCATCACAGGACGAACACTCACTTTTGCTGAGCAGCCTCGTCGACAACGGGGCCTTTTCCGTCGCCGATCAATACTTTGGTTCCGACACTGGGCACGCCGTCCACAACGACATAGATGAATCCTGGACCTGGAGGGTAGATATTGCCATTCGGCGGGCTGGTGATGGTCAAGGTCGCCTTGTCGTCTGACAGAGATGACTCAAGGTAGACCAAGCGGGAGTTGGCATGCACGGCATGGGTCACGTATCCTAGGTCCATCAGGGCGACTATGTAAAGCAAGTGAATAAGATGTATCTGTATTGTCAAGGCCGATGTCGACTCACCCTTGACGTCTGTGCCCTGCAGTGAAGGCATTCGTACCTTCATTTGGGCAGTTTGACCGAAGGTTAGTTTCTTCGGTAGCCCAGACAAAACTTGCGGTCGCTCCTTCTTCATGTATGCCGGTCCTAGCCACTCAACACGATACTCTGTCCCGTACTTGAGCTCGCTTCTGTCCAGGTTCGGGTTGCTCCCCGCCACCATGACATCCCCGTTCGGCGTCAGCGTCGCCACTGAATGATACAGCCGAGGGATATTGCTTTTTGGCATGCCTGCAGAGGAGAAGCGCTGCCCAGGAGGACCAGAGGGGCTGTAAAGGACGGGGGAGAACACTGGGTTGTCTGCGTTCGACGCACCCACTTGATCCACGACATTGCCATAGCCAGAGATACCAGATCCAGCGCCGTTCACAATGAGCACCTCGCCAGTCGGAAGCAGGACAGCATCGGGCATCGTTCGCGCCTGCGGCATCTGCTCGACTTGCCATCCCGCGGCAATACCAGCGTCAGTGAGGACTATGCGTGAGCACTGAGAAGAAGCGGGATCTTGGGAAGAGATAGCATAGCCCGCTTTGGTGTCGTCGACCGTGGAGCCACCGCATAGCAGAATCTCTGGCGTGTAGTCGTTGTCGGGGGATAGCGGAAGAAGTAAGCCTGTGCCAGTCATTGGGTAGGTCACACGGACGCCATTAGGGATGCGAGGTAGTCTCCGCTCAGTGTTCGTCTGCCAGTTGTAGACCATAGCATCCCGATTCGCAGCCATGAATACAGAGCCATCAGGTAGAGAGAATGCGATGGGGAAGAGGTTAGAGTTCAGGGTGTCCACCAGGAAGGGCAGATGAATCGGGAGACCCTTCGAGCCATGGATGCTTTTCGCGGGAAAGTACTCGATGGTTGGATTGTTGGTGGTACCATTGTTGATCCAGCCTCCCTTGAGGGAGCCCCCGATGATCATAGCACTACCGTCGGAGATGCGAAGGACAGTGTTGTACCATCGAGGACTAGCCATGCGGATCCTATCGTGGTTTTCGTAGATTGAACAGGCGTCCACATTCTCGAACTCGCAAGGCTCGAAGATCCGGATAGCTTGAAGGCCGTCAACGTCGCCAAAATCCGCAGCGGCGGTATGATCTTCGACGACCGGGTTCCCGCCAACGTTCACGAGAGTTCCGTTGCTTAGGAAAGTCCCGCCCGCACAGAAAGAGTTAGACTGCATCGAGAGAGGCTTTAGAGCATGGGTCTTCAGGTTGTACAATGCCGCCCAAGCAGGGTGACCGTCGACAGTAAGCGGATTGTGCTCCACCTTGTCAACGACAAGCGCATGAGTCTCCGAGATGATAGCCAGCTGCATTGCATGCACCCCAGTAGAGCCGTTCTGAACCAGAGTCCATTGAGAGTTGACAGGAAACTTCGAGGACAGGTCCAAAAGAGGCGGGTAGGAGGGCAGACTCTGAGATGCCACGGCTAGATTCTGCGAGGCGGGCGTCGATGGGTTTGCTGGTGGGCCTTGCATCACGACCAACGCATCGACGTCGACGATTGTCCCGCTTGATACGGCGCTTTTTTGTCCAGTATTGACGATTTTGATTGTATGCTTGCCTTGAGGAAGGTCGAAAGCCCAGAAGATACGTTGCTGCTTCCGTGATGCCTCATCGAAAGCGTCTACCTCCTGTATCGGCTTGCCGTCGATGAAGACCTGTGCAACTCCATGCCGCCTATCCTGGCTCCCAAACCATTCGATGCCTGTCCCAGTGAATGTGAAGGTCATCGCGGCGCCGGGCTCCGATGTCGAGCGGATGCTTTTCTGGACGTATGCAGACGAGAACGACTCCGACCAGGTCCCAGTGTAGTGAAGCAGCGGCGAAGATGAGTCATAGCCTTTGGCACCAGGAGGAACGTAGTATGGGGTGAAGCGAGCTTTCCTAGTCGATCCTGGGGAAAGGTGACCATTCCAAGCGGAGTCTCCTAGAGAAGACGATACGTAGAGGACGACCAGCGTCGATGAGACGAGCAAAGAACGGAGGCCCATGTTGAACGGGCTGGCTATAAAACCGATAGCGAGAGGGATGGTGAAAGGAACCAAACAAGCGAGGAGGCGAAGTCAACCAGGTATGTTCTTGATTGACCGGGTCAAACCTGTCCAAACAACACGTCAACCAAAGCAGACAGCAACGGCGACTTGCCGTACACAACGCTGCCGACCGGCACTGTCTCTGCTACTAGAGATAACAGGTACTGGCGAACGACGAACGTTCATGTTGGAAACGGATATTCGCGATATATGCTCGTCCGGTCCTATCAAGTAAATTACACGCAATACTATAACAACAGTCATCATGAGCACATAGAGAGGACGACGATAACGGAGGGCAGGTACTCTATTACTCGCGCTGGTCCGCCTTATCCAGCTGCTGCCGTTTCCGGGAGCCACCGCTGCAACAGGTGATCAGCAAACAAGCGTTTCTCGGACAGTGAATATGCCTTACACCTCGGTATCCAATCCACGCTTCCTGCCGCTCTTGGCTTCGTCCAAGAACTTGTCGAGTCCGAATACGTCGCCCGTGTCCTTCTCGAATTGGACGGGGCCTTCGCGAACCTCCTGCTCGTGTGCTCCTTCGAACCCAACACGAGGTTGCCCAAGACCAAACCGATCGTTGTCGAGCGCCTTGTTGATACCCTCTTCTGTGCCGCCACCGAACGACTCGTCGTTGCCCTCCGTGATGTTTCCACGGGCCTTGTAGATTGCGGCTGCTGCACTCGATCCGTGGAACAGGGGTCGGTCGTACAGATTGTATGACTCGTCGTCGGCGAAGCTGCCGGAAAGCGACTCCTGGTTGAACAAACGAGAGTCGAGCATGCTCTCCTTGGAGAGCGTGGGTTTCGCCAGACCAAGAGCGATCTTTTCCGAGATGTCACGGTTCTGTTGCCGAGCAAGCATCTTGGCGCGCTGTTCAGTACCCATGTTGCTCATGCGCATTTCACGCTCGCGCTCGCGCCTCTTCTCTGCACGCATCTGGTCCCGGATCCGTGCTGCCTCCTCGTCTTCCTCTTCCTCCGACTCCTCTGACTCAGACCCTGAGCCGTATGCGCCGAGCGATGACTGCATAGCAGCGGTACGCTCGACGCTAGGCTTCGATGACTCGCCTCTGGGAGCCTCGACGGTTCGGGGAGCGATACCTGCGCGTTCTTCACGTGCACGCTGGGCAAGAAGGCGAAGGTTTTCCTCCTTCTGTGCCTTCTCCTTCTCTGCGAGTTTCTGCTGCATGAGTGCACGCTGCCTGACCTCTTCACGCGCATGGCGATCGGCGATGAAGAGTGCCTCAGAGAACTTCGCGAAATTGTCATTGATGTGTACCTGTAGACATGAGGCCTCCGTTAGAGATTGCTTGAGTACAAACTATACAGACACCTACGTCCTGGAGACCGCGACCATCGGCGGCGAGACGTTTGTCTAGAGGAATGGTGTAACCCTTGTTGTTCTTCCAATTGGATATGCACGGGGGAATCATCCATTCCTTCTGCTCCTGCGCTGTGGCTTTGCGTGGAGGACTACGAAGGACGGGTGGCGGAGGGCTGGGAGGTCCGCGAGGGATCTTCTTGTGCTTGAACCGAGGTGGCTCCAACGGGTCTTCGACAACTTCTGTCATCTTGATAATCCGCTGCTTGAGGCTATCGGAGTTCCCCTGCTGCCCGGGAGTGTACCGGATGAACGAAGTTTTCCCTTGGCTGTCCGGCACGTTCTTGGGTTGAGCAGCCTTGATCTTGCCGTTCACGAGCTTCTCGAGCGCCGCGCGGGTCTTCTCAGTTGTCGCCTGCACCTCATCCTCAGAGGGACGTTCCAAATTGCGCTCGGTCTCGTCCAGATCCTTGCGGTGAGAGAGCGGGACAAGATCCTTGAACTGTGACTGTACAATCTTGCCCGCACGCTGGCCCTGCATGGCGATGGCGTCGTAGCGTACGTTGCCTTCAGAATCGACTTGCAGCGCCAGTGTATTGCCAGCCGCAGTCTTCATGAATCATGAGCCATGCATATGTATTCTCATTGAGTTTGACTGACCTTCTTTTTACCCATGTTGAGGGGGTATTGCGCGACATGACATTCGGGATAAGCTCCGCCATCCCCTGGAGCAACATTAGCTGATACTTCAACTATACATGTAGAAACTCACCGAAGTCTTCAAGAGACGTGGGCTTCCATCCTCTCCTCTGACCATACGGTGGAACTGCTTGACGAATGATCACGGATTGTGAGGGACCAGCCTGTTGGACTGGGACCTGGAGG